CTCGGCGACTCAAGCCATTCCAGAGCCCCGACTTCGACCCGCCACCTAGCCCCACCGACCGAGCGTCGCCCTTCCCCGTCTCGGAGCGTAGAGGACCCGCAACGACTTTCCCCCGGCGCCCCCTCACCCGGAGGTCAAATCCTGCTGGACGCTCAGGAGTCGCTCACGCAAACTCTCCAACATCTCCCGCTCGTAACCAGCGCGCGCTGGCGAACCCACCGCCCTGAGCTGGAAGCCTCAACTCCACTGCGGCACCCAGGAAGCACGGGACGCAGGCGGGCGGGGCGGGGCGGGGAGGGGAGGGGCTTCGAACGGGCGACCAATGAGATCGCCGCTTCGCCGTCAACTGTTCCTTCACGCGCTCCGCCTGTCAACAGAAGTTCCACCTTCAGGGCGGGCCAATCCCGCCTTGCTGTTTTTTTCCCCGGTTCAAAGAATGTAGGGCTTGGAAAGGTATTGCGCGCCCAATGCTCCACCCCCGTTGCTTATTTCACAATAATAGCCACCCCTAGCTTGTCTATTATGAACGTAAGACGCAGCCTCCTGACGAGGTTAGCTAGATGCAGAGGGTGCTCTGCAATACAGATATTTGTTTTTAAACTATAGCACTCTTTGATTTGGGAGGGTTCTGAGTTTCCGTGGGCGAAGCAGCTTCTCATTGAAACTTAACTTGATCTGTCTAGAAAATACAGTAGCAAATTCAATATTTCTCTATCCTATAATGAAGCAACTATTTGCATTGCCTCTTTCCCCCTCCAAAAAATCCCCCGCAACCCTAAAAATCCGAGAAAGAGAGGAGCCACTGGTCTTTCTAACAGTGATCTTTCTCACAGAGATTGTTTTTCAGATCTACGGAAACATCGTGATGGTGCCGTGCGCGAGGGGATTAGTTTTCATAATTGGAGCTGTGTATCCGGTCTGCAGTTTGCGTAAATTTGTGGCCACTACAGTTCCCTCGTGACATGCGCAAAGACAAACTACGACCTTACTCGGAGCAAGGATGCCAGTTACAGTATAGGGTAGCTGCTCTTCTTAGCAAGTTTTCGCCAGCGTGAAGCATGTAGAGTTACTTGCAATTATAGTCAAAGTTTTCCCAGGCTGTTCACCATCCAGTTGTGTTGTTTAACAGGCATCACCACTTCGTGGCAGATGAAATCCGAAGGCTTTCAGTTCGAGTAAGGCAGCAATTTGGCTATTTACCTGTTGCTTCTAAAAAGTTATAGTGCGAAGACGTATGTTGCAGCAGTATAAATTCCCGAAAAAGTAATTAAAGAAAATCAGTTCTCAAACTCGTCCATTATTAATATTAGCCATTCTATAAATAATGTTTGTGTGTGTACCTTAGCCAAGATGTGAGGATATTTTTATAGCACACTAAGTTCTGCCATCTAGAATTTAACATCAAGGATATAAAATTAGAAGTCAATAATTCTTTCCCCAATAATTTAAATACCAAAATGAAATGCACAGTGGGGAGACTCAAAAATCTATTCCATAATTCATCAACAATGTGTCAGTAAACCAATATAATCTCTGTATTATCAGCTCCTATATCTACACCCAATAATACTGGTCTCATTAGTTTAACCTTGTGTGGAGAAAGGGGGTAGGAATTAGATTAAAAATAAAGTCCTCTGAGTTGAGCTTGACTTCTGGAGACGGGTTTCTTGCAACAATTTATGTATGTATGTATGTATTTATTTAACTTAGACATCTATAGAGCTGCCCAACCCTACGATGACTCTGGGCAGTGTACAGAAAAAAAAAATCGAGAAAACAACTGAAACAAACAAAATCCCTAAACGCCATAGGGAAAGCAACCATTAAAATACAATCAAACATGTAGGACTTGCCACCCACTCTAACCCAAGGTCTGGGGAGAGATCCAGGTTTCCAGAACTCTTTTCAACTCAGCCAAAGTGGGGGGCAAGACGTATCTCATGGGGTGGGGAATGATGCTCCAGAAGGAAGATGCCACAACAGAGAATATGGAAGTAGCTTTGCCACTGCCTCCTTTTGGGATATTTTTTTCAACTTTACTGTGTAGCCCATTGGTTGATTTATTATGTGCCAACAAGTCAGTGTTGACTCATAATAGCCTCATTGATAGTATATACAGTATGTGTAGCCCATAGCTATCAGTATTTCCTGGTAGTCTGCCATTCAAATCCTAACCTTGTCCAACCCTGCTTACCAATTCAGAATCAGCCAATATCAGCTAGGAATTGCCACCCAGCTGGAGCATGAGGTAGTATATCTCCTCATTATACTAGAACCCAGGATATCCAATGAAGCAAATGATGAGACATCCATAACAGGCAAAATGAAATATTTCCCCATAGAGTGTAATTAAAATATGAAATTTAATTGACCGATTTGACTCAGTGAGTAACCAAGGCTTGTCAAATTCTCTCCAATCCCAGGGATGAGTCTTGAGTGCAGGATATTATTTTAAAATATAGCTTCTAGAATCATGCAATACAGCTCAAATAATTTTGCTACTTGAAGAATAATTGCTCATAACTTAGGAACCCCCCCTCCACACGCACGCACACCCCCGAAACTACTGTCGTATGTATCCAGGAGATTCCAACCCAGAATTGCAAAAATAGGTCAGCTTACCAGAAAGCTGGATAGCAAAATACAGACCAGTCAGCCACACATTTGCATGGAAGAGTCCCTATTATAGATAACATCTTTGTGGCAGGTACAGAGAGTAATAGCCTGGGATTGGCCTTTTGCAGCAATTGCCACTTATTTTTTGTAGCTATTTGCCAGAAGAGTTGAGGAAAACTGTCTGTAATGGTCTTTAAGAAGGAGGGGGCGAGGGGTATCCAAGGGATCAACAGCATTAAAATGGGGAGACAATCAGGTGATATTTGTTGTTTTATTGGACTGTTGTACACTGCCCACAGTCACTTTTTATGAGAAGGGTGGCCGTATAAATTTAATAAATAAATAAATAAATAAATAAAGCTTTGCCCCTTTTTACATGCATGCGATCCATGCAGTGGATGTTAAAAAATGGAGGGGTTAAATTGCCTGGTTGCTCCCACTATTTTGACATTATACGTAAGTAATAGAATTGACTTCTTTCTCCAGATCTTTTTATTTAAAAAGGCCATTTTGTGGGTTTGTGCTATTCCTATTATTAATATTAATTGGTTTTGAAATGATATTTTGAACCTTTTGCAAAAATGTGCATACACATATTACAATAAGAGTTAGAAATTTATAAAACACATTTCTATCCCACCATTAAGACCAGTGATACACAAAGCAGTTTATTGCAAGCATTTAAACAATGTTTGAGTCTTTTAAAACTCATTTCTTAAACTCCACATGTTTAATCAGATGTTATTATAAAGCACATAGCAGATAAGAAAAAGCATAATTCAACCAGCAATATAGTCAGTCTACATGTATCAATTGAATGTGAAAGTACAATTAAGATGTTATATTCAATTATCTTAATAAATTAATTTTTGTCCCTAGGTCAGAAAAATCAGGATTTTTACATGAAAAACATGTCCTTTTACAATACTCTCTTGGATCCTGGCACTGGAACTAAAAACACTATTTAAAAAAAAAAATTCTGATCAAGAATAAAAGTTAGCTGTCATCAAAACACATGATAGAGATAAGATTGAGTTGTACTGCTTGTTAATGTTACTCAGGGGATGTACGTTTATGCATGTGTAATTGCAGTTGAAAATTCCCTTTGGTTGTAAGGGCAGCCTGCATTTTCATCCTTCTTTTCCATGAACAGCTATCTGACAGAGCTTTTGAATCAAATTCATATCTCTCATTTTCTAAAGGAAATGAAGAAACTCTAGCACTCTTCAGCTATGTCTCCATTTCATCCCTTGCTGCAAGATTAATGTCACAGCAGCAAAATGAACTGAGTTTTTCAAAATGTTTAAAGTAAGGCTGTCAGTGTTCCTATTTTTATTAACCTTACAGTACCAATGTACTTACCTGTTAAAAACTTGTCTTTCAACCTTTAGGTTGTGCTATTTCTCTTTTCAGGCTGGAAGTGATATGTATTAGTGTTCTCTGCTCATTGATGTTATGAGTTTTAGTGTTTTGGGGTTTTTTTCTTTATAGCAATCTGATTAATGTTCTGATTTGTTAAATTTGCTTAAGATAACCAGTTGCCTTTTTATATTTTTGATTACTTCAGTTACCTTAACATTTCAAACTTTACATTTAAGTGAATGTATTTACATAGTTTTCATATTAATTGTATGTTAATACTGTTTTATAGTAATAATACTATAAAACTGTTTTGCAGTTTTATAATGTTTGGTTTATTCATCTTTTACAACAAAAATTGTGTTGGATTGAATTTACTTTATTGGATTAGTTGCAAATTTTACTATATGTTGTTTCTGTACTGGCCTATGATTGTAATAAAAATATGTACCTATGTGTCTGTCTGTCTATCTGTCTCTCAATGTCCAGAGTTTGTTGAGAGTCAGGCGGCATACCGTATTTTTCCATGTATAAGATGATACTTTTTTCTAAAATCGTTACACTAAAAATTGAAGGTCGTCTTATACAAGTAAGCAAGCCGAGGAGAGAACCGCGCAGTTGCAAAACTGCCCATACTTTGTCTTTGGAGGCTTCCTCCAATCACAAGCCTTATGTAACTGACGTCAGCTGATGCTGAACAAACCAATTGGAACACATCCCGTTGGAGTGGAGAGCATGTAGGCAGGGCACAGATGTGACAGGGGCCGGTAACGTCAGAGCAGAGGCTTCCTCCAATCACAAGCCTTATGTAACTGACGTCAGCTGATGCTGAACAAACCAATTGGAACACATCCCGTTGGAGTGGAGAGCATGTAGGCAGGGCACAGATGTGACAGGGGCCGGTAACGTCAGAGCAGAGGCTTCCTCCAATCACAAGCCTTATGTAACTGACGTCAGCTGATGCTGAACAAACCAATTGGAACACATCCCGTTGGAGTGGAGAGCATGTAGGCAGTGCACAGATGTGACAGGGGCCGGTAACGTCAGAGCATTCTGAGCCTATAAAGGTGTCGGAAAATAAAAAAATAAATAAGCGAATGTCTTACTCTGCAAAATTCAAACTGAATATAATCAGTTATGCAAAAGAGCATGGAAAT